TTCTGGATCGCCCTGGAATTCCTCGACCGATGCGATGCCCTCCACCTTGCCGACCTCGTTCTTCTCCTGCTTCTCTGGAACTTCACTACCACGACCCCCTCCATGTCGCGTTCTGCTGGACTTTTGAGCAGGGCTATCACCACCCTCCTCGTACGTAACGTCGGCGTCCTGAAAGATCTTACTTGTTTCAGTCGGACCTTGCGTCTCGTCTCCGAGAGAAAACAGATCATGCAAATCACTCAATTGAAATGTCTGCCGTTGCTTGGGGTCCTTTAAGATCTTGTTGGTGAGGAACTGCTTGAATATCTGTCGGTGGTAGATCTTTTCTTCAATCGTTCCAGCCGTCATGAGTCGGTAGACAGTGACCTCCCGCTTCTGTCCCAGCCTCCATGCTCGCTCGCGCGCCTGCATATCGGTGGACGGGTTCCAATCCGGATCGAAGATTATGACTCGATCCGCCCCGGTGAGGTTCACGCCGAGACCTCCCACCTTTGTTGTGAGAAGGAACACGTGCAGGTCCGGGTCATTGTTGAACTCGTCGACCATAGTTTGTCGACGAGCTATAGGTGTAGTTCCGTCCATTCGTCGGTAATTGAATCCGGAAAGCGAGTTCATGAATTTCTCGAGAATATCCAACATGATGCGATGCTGTGTAAATAAAAGAGTCTTGTGCCCCGTGTCCTTCCACAGCTCTAGCAGCGACTTGACCACTTGCATTTTACCGGAGTGAGTGGCATTGCCATAGCCCGATTGGTGCGAGTTGAACTTGTGACTCTGTAAGTCTGGGTGGTTGCAAATCTTGCGCAGAATATCAACTCCGTACAAGACCTGCCGGCGTCCTCTAAGGATGGCTTGCATTTCCTGCGAGCCAAGGAAGGCTTCATATGCTTGTCGCTGAAGTTTTGTAAGCTTGCAGAACAAGACTTGCTCGCTCTTCTTCGGAAGGTCTGCCGCCACGTCCACCTTGAATCGCTGTAAAAGGTATGGGCTCATGGCATCTTTAAGGGTTTCGGCGCACTTGGTGGCCGTTTGAACTTGGAGATTGGAAGCATTCGCATAACCTCCTTGGCGGATGGGGAACTCGAACTGGTTTCGGAAGTTAACCAAGGTCCCCAGGCGCATAGGAAAGACAAAGTCGAATAGCGACCAGAGCTCCGTGAGGTTGTTCTGCATGGGGGTGCCGGATAGAATAATCCGGTGCGGGGTTCGAAGCTCTTTGCAATGTATAGTGATTGATGTGTTCGGATTCCGAATCTTATGGCCTTCGTCGAGGATCGCGCACCCCCATTCTATCGGGATCAGGAGAGGTGCGTACGTCTGTAGACCAGAGTACGTAGTCACCAACACATGACCTTCTTCTATAACGCGCTTGACCACTTTCCTGCCAGCCTTCAGGCCGCCTGAGACGCCGCGAGAATCCCGCGTCTGCGTCAAGAGCGCATCTTCTCTGCTGGTCTCATTCCGGATGTTGACCATACCACTGCCAGAGGTATGTAGGATCGAAACACGGAGCGGTGGCCACCATCGATGAAACTCGTTGACCCACTGTTTCATGACCGTGGCGGGGCACACGACGATAACCGGCTTCGTTAGCTTTTTACTATAGTGGAGTCCAGCCAGGAAGGCAATAACTTGGATGGTCTTTCCTAGTCCCATCTCATCACCGATTATGCCGCCTACTTGCTGCTGCTGCAATTCCCATAGCCACTGGACTCCAGTCTTCTGGTAATCAAACAGAAGCGGATGGACATCACCGGGTATACGATAGGAGTTATCGTATGGTAGATCCGGGACGGTGGGGTGTGGCATGAACCACTCTTCTTCCTGCCCATCATGGCCAGCGTCGGACTCCATATCCATTCTTTGCGCCTGCAGAGTGCGTCGTCGGGCAGCACTCCTACGCTCGACCCAGCTCTGAAGTCTAGATTGATAGACCTTTTCGTTTCCGTCGTCTACCCCGCTGAAGTCTTCCATGTCATCCGCCGTCTTCGTTTTCCCCGAAGCTGCGGGTCGTGCAGTTCTCTCCTCGGTTATAAAGTCCTCGTCATCAGAGGATAGTGATTCTGCTCCTTCAGATGCCACATAACTCCCCGAACCATCGTCGGAAGGAGCCTCCTCCGCCGGGCTTTCTACCGTTAGTTCTGGATCGTCTGGTTGCGAAGCATCTCGCGCATGATCCTCTTTTTCTAGCCTTCGCTTCTTCTTTGGGCGCTCAGCTTTCTCTTCGATGGAGTTTTCGCTGGCTTCGTCAAACCCGAAGCCTGGACGCACCAAGTTTCGATGCGAGACCGTAGAGCGTTGCTTAACTTGTTCAAGTGCATCTTTCTCATCGCGCTCATCTTCGGCATCAATCAGTGTATCATGAAGACTATATAAGGGCCCTTCGGTTGGGCCAGAACCCATAGTTGAAAAGGGTGTAATTTTTCCGGTTCGGATGAGATAGTCTCTCCGAGACTCGTGAGGCTGTCTTCCCGTTCCATTTTCTTGCACGTCAGGTTCTCTCCCTTGTTGCCTCTCGTCCATGCGCTGCCGGATTTCTTTCAAGTCGCTTGCCAACGTAGCATTGCGGGATTCTAATTTTTGCATGTCATTCTGAATGCGAACACGGGCGGCAGTGCCAACTGGCTGTGATAGGCGTTGGTGTAATTTCAAGATCTGCGATTCGACTTTTCTAGTAGAAGCATGAGCATTGTGACAGGCAGAAGGAAACTGAGGCCATACTCTTTTTCCTGGTTAGTCTTCTCTAGTCGCTTGTTATCGCGTTCATCGGCCTGCTCCAGGAGCAACTTATCGGCCTATTACTTTGGTCAGGGGAGTTGATACTTTGGCAGGGGAACTTAGTCGCGATTGGGATATACCTGGCGTGAGATATCTCTCTCAAGATCATCCTGGTCTCGAACGTCGGCCTGGAGCTCTCGGAGGCGGCTGGCTTCGTCTACGCCCGACAAAGGTGCCTGGTTGGGTGTATTGGAGCCCTCTGGCTGCTCCGGTCGGTCTTCCTGGTTCTGAGATTGAGGAATCCCGTCCTGGACTGCAGAATCAACATCGCCCGTCCCGTCGTCGGCCATGATTTGAGGGGTAAATGAAGGCTCCTGGGCGAAAGTCTAGTGAAGTCTCGGTGATTCTTTGAGCGCGTTGTTCGGTCCTTCATAAGCTGCATAAATCATTCGGGCCAAAAATCATAGTTGTATAAATACAGAAAATAAGAGAGGAAATAAGCAAGATGTGGCTTTTGCCACAGTCGCAGATGGCACGGTCAGCAGGAAAATGTGAGATTAACTTGAATGAAACATTGACGAGTTGGAGGACGTCAGGACGGTTCTAGACTTAATCCTGGCATGTGCGCGAGATCCTTAGCACTGTGCGCGCCCTCTTCTTCGATGCGACAGGCTTGAAGAGGGAGGGAGAGAAATCCGGCGCCGAGGGACCGTGAGGAGTGACGATACTCGTCCGTACAAGGCAGAAGTGCCGGCAGAATCGACTCACCGATGGCTGCCTGACACCCACCGCTTTCGGGCTGAGTCATCCCCCCGTCCTTTCGCCTCCCACGTCACCGCTTTGGGTTGCAACTGTAGGACTCGAGTCTCACTTTCAAGCTTCTCTCTCTGACTTCTTCTGACTCTGGCTTTACCGTGGCTGGCTCTGACCCCAGATGAAGTCATTAACTTTCGGTTTCTGCACTCGGTAAGGATGGCAGACTCAAGGACACTGCACTCCATGTACACCGTACACCGTAGACCGGCCTGTCTAAGAATATCACGATGTCGGGCAATTTCCCAGTAGTTAGTCGCAACTCTGGAGATTTGATCAACACAAAAGTCAAACCCGACGGTCGCTAAGGCGCTTCTAAGGGGGCGGCTTGGCTCCACTGGGCGATTGATCGTCCAAGAGGTTGGTCAAGAGGCAGGCCGTGGCACGGAGCAAAGACTAAGGAAAGACTAGACGAGATCCATCCATCTCAGACCAGACCTGGCTTGCTTGCGCATGCACGTAAAATTAGATCTGAGGTTGTACTCCGGACTGTTTGTGTCGACACTCGACAGAGACAGCATCCCCGGGTATTTAAATCACTAGTCATAATTAATATACACAGAACCTGGCAGTGATGATTGTTATGTACTTTAAGAGGCGATCCATAGTTGACACCTGATTTGATCCCTTGAGCAACGATTTCCCGCTGGACACAACAACGGTTGTCATCATCATCATCATCATCATCATCATTATTACTCTGCTGCGGGAACTTGGCTTTGCTGCCTTATTGGAGACCGCGTAATATCCAATGGGAGGCCCCCAAAAGCGGCCAGCCTCAGGACTCATCTTCTGTTTCTGTTTCTGCTTCTCTTCTTCTTTTCGCGTTCCTCCTCGCCCCCTCCTCCTCCTCCCTCCGCATTAGCCTCTTTCGCTCAACTCTCTAGGAGTCGCTTTTCCACCTTGTCCCCTTTTTTTTTTCTGTTTTCTTTTTTAATTGTGTCTCCCACCATTTTATTTTATACATTTTTCCATTACACTCTGTTGTTCTCTGTGGACCGTGGACTTCAGCCCGGATTTCCCGCGCTTCTCCGGGTGTCCAGCAGTGCTTCTGCCCTGCCCCAGCCTCCTTGGCGTGTTGATACCCATTCCCACTGTGCATTGCGACCGCCCCCCGTTCCTCTGCAACCCTCGCCCTTTGGACCACCAGTCCACCTCCCACTCCCACCGTCCATCCCTTTCACCTTGACCCAAGCCATCCTGCGGATAATGAGGTGCCACACAAATCGGAATTAACATCAATTCCTCCTTCTCGCCTCCCACCCTTCGAATTGCATCGGGGTTCGCTCGTGTTCCGCGTCTCCGCCTGATTGCGTCGGCCGTCCCCGCTGCTATCTACCTCCCGGTCGCAGTGCATGTGCGCTGTCCACGGCAACAGACGATCGATCTTCCTTTCCAATTCCCTCTTTCCTCCCACCTCCGACCGGACATTCATCGCGAGAGAGGAACACAAAAAGTGCGGATAAAAGATGGACTCGCAGTGGCAGCCCTATCAGGATCCCTTAATGGGCCGTCCCGCGCAGTTCAATAACGGGCAACCGCTTGCTGCGAAGTACGCTGGTCAGCCACAACAAGCACAACAGGCTCCTGTTGGCTATACCTATGAGGCTTTCCAAACACCCGCCCTGGCGGCCAAGCCTCCAACCATGACCGCCAACTCGAAATCGGTTCCTATGGCATCTTCTCCGGCCGCGACGCCACGTAGTCGCGATTATGTCACCGATGCCGACACCACCATGGAGGACGCGGACCCGTATAATCGAGCGAAATACTCTGCGGCCAGGCCAAGTCATCATAGCCGACCGTCTTCCCAGTACTTCCCTCATGAAGAGTCTTCGGCCGCTCGCAGGTACTCCCCGATGAACGTCCTGTCACCCACGATGCCGTATAATACGAGCCCTGGGAAGGGTCCCGCTACCTACGTCCACCCTCCCGCTGCCAACCAGACTCGTCGCTCGCCGACGAGAATGCCGAATTACTCTTCGCCGCCTCAATCATACCAGTCGCCTCCCTGTGAGCCCCTGCCCTTGTTGTTCGATTCTACTCGCATGCGTGCTGTCTTGGATGACGCTCAGTAACTAATCCCTGCTTAGCGACTGGATCGCGACCCCCTAGGCTCCCTCCTTTGCAGGCTACCGACCTGGGCCTCGATCAATATTACCCTCCCTCGGCAGGATCTCAGCTCGGTGCGGCCTTTGGGCAGGATGGAAGGTCTCCACACCCCACATTCATATCTGGCCCAAACCAGCAACCAGGCCGCGGACCGGTGCCCAAGTTCCAGAAAATCAAGTCGGTCCAGGAGCTTCAGCCACGCATCAATGTGCAGCCCCCATACAGAAGAGCTAATCCCGAAGGCGGCTTCATTAGTGTAAGTTTCTTGCGAGTCGCCCGGGGCCGTTGTAACTTTCCCTAATATCTGCGCAGCCCCTTCAAGCTCTGACGATGCATCTGCCCTCCACTTATCGGATATGCAACCCGGGCTTCAATTACGAATCATCGAGGAACCCGAGACGAGTACTCACCAAACCCAGCAAGGGTGTCAAGAATGATGGATACGATAACGAAGATAGTGACTACATCCTATATGTGAATGATATCCTGGGAAGCGAGGAAGCCGGTCACAAGTGCGTTCAGGCCTCGGCATCTCCTGTCCAGCCCCGACGTGTGCAATAGTGCTGACCACCGATTTAGAAACCGCTATCTTATTCTTGATGTGCTTGGCCAAGGTACTTTCGGACAAGTCGTCAAATGCCAGAATCTGAAAACCCAGGAAGTCGTGGCTGTCAAGGTCATCAAGAATAAGACTGCCTACTTCAATCAGAGTATGATGGAGGTCTCTGTTTTGGACCTGGTACGTTTTTCTGCGTCACCCTCTTGTGGACCATAGCTTACCCTGTGACACCACAGCTCAACAGCAGATACGACAAAAATGATGACCACCATCTACTCCGGCTGAAGGATACCTTTATCCACAGACAGCATCTCTGTTTGACTTTTGAGCTGCTCAGTGTTAACCTTTACGAACTCATCAAACAAAACCAATTCCGAGGGTTAAGCACAACGTTGGTACGGGTGTTTGCCCAACAATTGCTGAATGCATTGAGTCTTTTGAACAAGGCGCACTTGATCCACTGTGACTTGAAACCGGAGAACATCCTCCTGAAAAAGTCCGTTGTCCTCCCCCGATGTCATGCATTATAAGGACTAACCCCCAGCTCCTTTTAGCCTAGAGAGCCCCATAATCAAAGTCATTGATTTTGGATCTGCTTGCGACGAACGGCAAACGGTTTACACATATATACAGTCGCGATTCTACCGTTCTCCCGAGGTTTTACTTGGCTTGCCGTACGTGGATTTATCTTGAGTCCCCGCAAACCCCACCTGCTAATTCACTCCAGGTACTCTTCTGCGATCGATATGTGGTCATTGGGCTGCATTGTTGTCGAGCTCTTCCTTGGTCTACCGTTGTTTCCTGGATCTTCCGAATACAATCAGGTGTGCCGTATTGTGGACATGATGGGCTTGCCTCCTTCCTGGATGCTGGAGATGGGCAAACAATCCGGGGAGTTCTTCGAGAAAACCCATGACGAATTTGGAAGGAAAACGTATCGTCTGAAGAGTCTGGAGCAGTATTCTCGAGAACATAACACGAAGGAGCAACCAAGCAAGAAGTATTTCCAGGCTACGACGCTGGAAGAAATAATCCGGAGCTACCCAATGCCACGGAAAAATATGAAACAGGCCGAAATTGAGAGGGGTATGTAGCGTTCCCACCAACCGCGCCGAGTATTTGCTAACGTTTTTGATCAGAAATCAATAACCGAACAGCTTTCATCGATTTCGTCCGAGGTTTGCTGACCATCAATCCGCTTGAGCGGTGGTCACCGCAACAGGCTAAATTGCATCCCTTTATTACCCAGCAGAAGTTTACAGGACCCTTTGTGCCGCCAATGAATCTGAAATACTCGGCGCTCAGCAAACCGGTCGCCCCTGGAATCCAGCAACAACAACAGGCGGAAGCGACAAGTAAGCAGAGGGCGGCCCAGGCGGCCCAGGCACAAACCGCGGCGCAGAATGCGTACTCGATGCAGATGAATCAGTTCCACCCGCCTGCTCATGCACAACCGCCGCCTCCTATGTACAACGGCATGTTTACAGGTCACCAGCAGGGTGCTCCCCCACCATACCCAACTCAGCCTCCCGGGTACGGCCACCAGATGAACATGATGCCGGGCCAAGTGCCCCAGGCTCAATACGCGCCGTCTCAAAGTCTGTATGCGCAGGCAACTACGAGGGCCGGTCGCCAACGTGCTTCGACAATGGACCCACAAGGAGGAGGAATTCCGCCTACTATTCAGCGAGTCGCCAGCCATCTGGATCCTAACGCACCCATTCGGTTGCAACCCAGTCCCGCGTATTATCCTCCGCCTCCTGAGGGGTACGCTGACCCTAACGCTGCTAACCAGCGTCGTCGGGGAAGCCGTGCGGGTGGCACCCGTAACCGGGATTTCATTCGGACCCTCGAGGACGGCGTGTTAGGTGACGGCTACGCCGCGCCCAACCAATGGCATTGAACGCACTGATCTTAGGCCAGTTTTAAGCGGCACCGAAGGTGCATCAACATTGTATTATAGCCAGCATACACTTCTGCACAAGAGTGTTCCGAGCGCGTTTTTTTCTTGGGTGATTAACGCGGGGCTGCTCCAAAATGTCGTCGGCTTCTTGTGGTGATTGAAAATTTGCTTGGAATCTCTAGCAGGTTTCTCTGCTATCAAGTCCTGCTCGTCCATTCCGTGGCCGACGAAGGAGTCGGTGGTTTCACAACCCACTGTCGAGATACATCCGTCCTATTGCCCTCGGGCGCATGGGATGGCGCCCTGTTGAATTACATTGAAGCGCAATGTCATTTCAACCCTCTTACGGATTCAAGTGACGCGAAACTTGCCCTTGGCGAGTATTCGTCGCCATGGTGCCTCTCGACGATGCTGCCGTCTTCCTGCTTCGATATTTGAGCTTTCAGATTTTCTGATGCTCATCTCTAGCTTTACAACTTTCCCCGCAACTCCTTCACATTCGCGTGTGTCTTTTTTCGGCATAGCTTGGAGTATTTGGAAAGACCGCGATTCAATTATCTTTGTATCATTCTCCACCCCCTTTCTTTTTTTTTTTTTTTTTCTTTGTCTTAGTCACTGCCACTGCATTACGATGTCGAATCTCATGTTATCTTTTTCTTTTCTTACATAGGGCACTGACTGATATTGCCACTCCATTTATAGCCTCCTCTCCCTTTTGTTTTCTTTTTTTCAGTCCCGTATAAAAGAACAAGAGCATTACTGTAGTTTGGATACTTGAATGGAATATTGGCACTCCTAGCTGTCTGGTACTGAGCGCGGCGTACTTCGATCCGGGTGGTAAATCAGGCAAAGGGGCACCGGCCTTCGTAGGACCCCCAAGCCTCGCTCTCCTTGTACTCCCTACTCCATGGAGTCCAGGGCGAGGGATGGCATCTCCACATTTCACACGATGGAGGCGGAGTCTCGATGACTCTGCCGTGTGCGGCCTCAGGCACCACCTGCCCCATGCGGTTAGGCGCCCACTCGCTTAAATTTCGTGTGTGGCTCGCGCAGACCAATCTGCGGCTCCCGAACCTCACAACTTGATTTTCCTTCAGCGAAGAGCCAACCAACTGGTTTAAGGGAATCGCCTAGACCATCTCCATTCGACTGTGCGTCACGCTCGCGTCTCAGGGGACCGATTATTTCAATTTCGCGACGTCTCTCGATCCGATCAGCCGATAAACCAGCCAAAATGTCGCGTTTCTTCTACGGTGGCGGTAGCGACAGCGACAGCAGCTCGTCCGACGAGGAGGAGGTCTACAGCGATCGTGAGGAGCAGGAGAAGAAGTCGGATGATGAAGAGTCCAGCGAGGACGACTCCTCGGAGGAGGAGGAAGATTCCGATGACGAAGCCGATGAAGCCGGTCCCAACCGTTTCTTGAGGGACGTTTCGGAGAGCGAGGAAAGTGAGGATGAGGAGAAAGTGACCGTCGTCAAGAGTGCCAAGGACAAGCGGGTGGATGAACTTGAGGGCACCATTAAGCTCATCGAAAATGCCGAGAAGATTAACGACTGGGCTGTGATCTCCGCCGGTGCGTGTTTTTTCTTTGGGGTCCCGGGAAAGAAGTTGCAGGGAAACGCGGTCCATGTACTAACAGGAGATTCTAGAGTTCGACAAGCTGAACCGCCAGATCGTCAAGGTTCTTCAGTCCGGCCCTGCTCCCAAGATCTACATCAAGACCGTTGCGGACCTTGAGGATCTCGTCAACGAGACCATTGTCAAGCAGAAGTCCTCGAACAAGAAGATGAACACCAGCAACGCCAAGGGATTTAACGCCGTCAAGCAACGTATCAAGAAGAACAACAAGGAGTACGCCACTCAAGTCGAGAAGTACCGCGCGAACAAGGATTCCTACATGGAGGCCGACGAGGAGGTCACCAAGCCTGCCGCTGCCGCCCCCAAGCCCGTCAAGACCAAGGTTGAGCGTGTCGAGGCGCCTGCCGCCGTCTCCGCCGCCGACGATGACGGCTTTGCTACCGTTGGCCGTGGTGGCAAGACTCTCCAGTACACCCCCGAGAGCATCCTTAAGCATCTCCGTGTGATTGTCGAATCTCGTGGAAAGAAGAACACAGACCGCCTTGAGCAGATCCGAACGATGGAGAAGCTTTTGGAAGTCTCCCAGTCTCCCTACCAGCGCATCCGTGTCTACCTCACCCTCATCTCGACCCGCTTCGACCTCACCTCCTCATCCTCCGCGAACTACATGAGCATCGATCAGTGGAAATTCGCTGAACAGGAATTCACCACTCTTCTTTCCGTCCTTGAGAGCAACCCCGACTACGTTGTCGCCGAAGGTGCCGAAGAGTGGGAGGACGATGAGAAGCAGCCCCAGCCCACCGACGGTGAGAAGGTCTATATCCCGGGCAGCATGGTCTCCTACGTTGAGAGACTCGATGACGAACTCACTCGGTCTTTGCAACACATTGACCCCCACACTTCCGAGTATATCGAGCGACTGAGCGATGAGAAGCAGCTTTACACCGCCATTGTCCGCGCCCAGACCTATGTTGAGAGTCTCACCAAGTCTGACAAGAGCGACCCCCGGCAGGACAGCCTGAACCGGGTGGTCATGAGGAGATTGGAACACATCTACTTCAAGCCTTCTCAGGTTGTTACCATCCTGGAGGAGGGTACCTGGAAGACCCTGGACACCAAGCTGGATTCGGCCATCACCCCTCGCAGCAAGACCGGCGATGTGACGAGCCTCGTTCAGACGCTCTGCAACTACCTCTTCAAGTTCAGCGATGGCATCATCAGAGCGCGTGCCATGCTCTCTCAGATCTACTTCCTTGCCCTGCACGATCAGTACTACCGCTCGCGTGACTTGATGCTCATGTCCCATCTTACCGAGAGCATCTCGAACTTCGACGTTAGCACTCAGATTCTTTTCAACCGCACTTTGGTCCAGATTGGCCTCTGTGCTTTCCGGGCCGGCCTTATCTACGAAGCTCAGAACACCCTCTCCGAAGTCTGCGGCAGCGGCCGTCAGAAAGAGCTCCTTGCCCAGGGCATCATCCTCCAGCGTTTCTCGACTGTGTCGCCGGAGCAAGAGCGCCTTGAGCGCCAGCGCCAGCTTCCCTTCCACATGCACATCAACCTGGAACTCCTTGAATGTATCTACCTGACCTCCAGCATGTTCCTGGAAGTTCCTCTGATGGCCCAGACCTCGTCCGCCCCCGAGATGAAGCGCCGTGTCATCTCCAAGACTTTCCGTCGTATGTTGGACTACAACGAGCGACAGGTCTTCACCGGTCCCGCCGAGAACACTCGCGATGGTGTCATCATGAGTGCCAAGTTCCTTGCCGCTGGTGACTGGAAGAAGGCCGCCGAGATGCTTGGCTCCATCAAGATCTGGGACCTGATGCCCCAGCCCGACAAGATCAAGGAGATGCTGTCCCAGCAGATCCAGGAAGAGGGCCTCCGGACCTACCTGTTCACCTACGCTCCCTTCTACGACAGCGTGGCTATCGACACTTTGGCCAACATGTTCGAGCTCCCCGAGAAGAAGATTGGTGCTATCATTAGCCGCATGATCTCGCACGAGGAGTTGGCTGCTGCCCTCGACCAGGTCAACGGCGCCATTGTCTTCCGCAAGGGTGTCGAGCTGTCTCGTCTCCAATCGCAGATCGTCACTCTTTCCGACAAGTCGATGAACCTCTTGGAGGCCAACGAGAAGACTCTCGAGCAGCGCACTCAAGGCATGGCCAACGCCTTCCAGCGCGATCAGGGCGCCGGCGCCCGTGGTGGCCGTGGTCCTCGCCAGGGTCAGGCCCGTGGTGGCGCCAGATTCCCTGGCGGTCAACAAGGTCGTCGACCTGGCGGACAGCAGTTCGGTGGCGGTGCGTTGGGTGGAGCTATCAAGGCATAAAAAATGTTAGTAATGGCATTCATATCTTTTCATGGTTTTAATGCTCCTCTTGGAATTTAACTGCGTATGATTCCATGTGCTTTTATCCATTATGGCTTCTTTTTTCTTTTTTCTTTTCCATTTCTTTTTCATTTACGGCAGAGGATGTCCTCAACTCTTTTCTTTTCTTTCCGTCTTGCATACAGTACTGCTACAATTACAGATGAGTCTTATTGAATTATATGAGGGAATGAAAAGGACGGGAATAAAAATTTCAAATAGATTTCTAGAAAATGTCCGGATTCTCACACTACGTAGTCAAATATTCATTTGTGATGTTCATTATGTGATGCATCATAGCTTCGCTCTAAAGGGGTAATTCATTGTCTTTTGCCCTGGTGGTCAGAATCCCCAGTGTTATACATGGTCATGGAATCGATTTTCGGCACTACACCATCGAAAAAATTATGGGCCACGTCTTCTGCAGTGCTTGCACTAGTGTTTAGGCTGAAGCCTAGAAACAAATACTGAAGACGGGGGTGGGTCATTATATATAACCAACGGTCCAACCCGCTCCCAACATTGTCCGTTGAATCCGAGGGTGCTCTTATCGAATGCCACCCTACGATATTGATAGTTCTTAGATCAAGGAAGAAGCTTCACCCACTATCATCCAGCAGGTTCTGTGGTGACCAATATTCATTCTCTTCAGCCTGGGCATCGAGCCAGACTAGACCGTCGGCCAGCAGATCGTCAATGACGGTCTGGGCCCGCGCTTTCTCCCAGTTCAAGTTCAGCCGCAACATAGATATACTCACGTATCCGAGAACTTGTATAGCCTCCAGCACGGTGGCTTGGTCTGTGTTCAGCTCCTTTGGAACCGACCGGATATACTGCTTGCTTCCGACTCGGAAGATAGAAAAGCCTGACCCCAGAGGCTCGAGCGATTTGACAGCACGAAGGACATCATCACTAGATCATGTAAGTATTGATTGCGACCCCGTTACTTACCTCCACCCGGGTGTGAAGGAGAGAAAGGGCAGATAGTGGCGGAAGGGAAGGGGTTCAAGATGCGCATACTCCGTAACTTCAAGACCACTCCCGATCGCTTTCCCTTTGCCTACTCGTTTCCGACACTCCTCGACACCAAGCAAGCCGCCGTTTTCACTGCGCGTATCCCGGCACAGCCCCACGACTCGCACCGCAACCTCGAAGTAGAAATCATTCATGTCCCCGCCCATAATCTGGGTCCAGAAGCTGCCCGTCTCGCCGCCCAGTCCCTTCCGGCCATTTTTCCCTTTCACGTTGCTTGCGGCGAGCGGGTCGACGCCGATCGTATTGCACATGCGTGCGAACTCGGCGCGGAAGGTGGGGTTTGATTTGATGGTTGAGCTGTGCTCCAGCGCGAAGCTGTGGAGGACGGACTGGAACACCGAGAGTTGGGTCTGGAGCGAGGAGAGGTGGGTGGAGCGAAGGTTGGCGCCATGATTGGCATAGGATTGGCTGGCTTGGGTTCGATTCGCAAAGGCTCCTAGGCCGACGCCTCGACGGGAGGACATGGTTGAGACGTTGATGTGTGAGTTGCGGGGTCGGGGGTGTTATCTAGACAACATTGCTGCCGACTTGGTCCCGTCCGGGGCTCTTATCAGGAACGGTCAGCTGACCCGCCCTACCCTAGGGCGATAAGGGTACGGCTTATCTAAGTGCATGAACCGCCAAGAAATGCTGGTCCCATCGTGCTAGCCGTAGACGGGTTAGTGCCACCCGACCGCCCACAACCGATTTTCCCTCTTTAAAGCAGATTTCCTTTTGAATTCTCTTCACTTCGACAGCCCTCGCCAACCGCCCAACTCGCGAACTCTTACGGACCGTCGCAATGGCCTCGACTGCTACGTATGCTTCCCTTTTATGATCCCTCCCGGTTGATTCGTCGCACGAGTCTGTCAGGATTGGGGTTATAGTCGTCCTTCTCGCTGGAGATGCTGCAGTTTGAAAAAACTTGCTAAGCACCAGCTCGATCTTTCCCGCGACCATCGTCTCGTTCCATGAGCTCGCCTCTACATAACTGTTAGAAGCAAAGGATTGGAATTGAGAATGGGTCAGGGGTATTGGGGTTGAAAGCCATGCTGCCTTCTCCCTAAAAATCATTGTTGTCGGCTATCGTTTCCCTTCTCTCCGGTCTGAGTTTTCTCAGGCTTATCGATATGGGAACGAACAGCGTCAATACAATTCCCGAACGTTTCGTTTGGGGTCTTGTCGGATGAGGATATTAAGAAAGAGCTTGGGTCTTCAATGGATCCGCAATGGCAATGCTGGAATATGCTTCGCCAGGATCATGACCCTTAAGTCTTTTGCTTCACCGATCAAATTGATGTCGTCGAGTGCTTTCTTTTAGCCTTCAGTATGAGAATGTGGCACTATAGCTACAGTTCTTACACTCGGCGAAGTTTTGGCCTTGTCTGATTGCCATGGACAGACCCAACTGACCTCCCACAGCACCGTCCCCACCAACCAGCAGGTGCTGGTCCCCGAGACCCTCCTGAAGAAGCGCAAGAGCCAGGAGCAGGCTCGCGCTGTTCAGCGTGAGGAGGCCCAGAAGAAGAAGGAGGTTAGTATTCTGAAAAATTTTTCTTTGCTTTTCCTTTTTTTTGTTCGATGATTACAACACACCACTACGCGACTAGACCACCAAGTCGATGCTGTCGCTTCGTTAACCATCTTTCGGGGATGAGACACATTACTTTACCACATGTTTTACATCAACTTGATGAAATGTTCTTTTCACTAACGGAGAACCTCTAGGCCAACAAGCAGAAGCGTGCTACCATCTTCAAGCGCGCCGAGTCCTACGTCAAGGAGTACCGCGATGCTGAGCGTGAGAAGATCCGTCTCGGCCGTGTTGCCCGCAAGGACGGTAACTTCCAGGTCGAGGACGAGGCTAAGCTGGTCTTCGTTATCCGTATCAAGGGGTATGTTGTCTCGTCCACACCGCATCGATCGCATCAAATTCTAACCGTCACCCTAGTATCAACAAGATCCCTCCCCAGCCCCGTAAGATCTTGCAGCTGCTCCGTCTGCTCCAGATCAACAACGGTACCTTCATCCGTCTCTCCAAGGCTACCCAGGAGATGTTGACCATCATCAACCCCTACATCGCCTACGGATACCCCAACCTCAAGTCCATCCGTGAGCTTGTCTACAAGCGCGGTTACGGCAAGGTTGACAAGCAGCGTGTTGCCCTCACCGACAACCAGATCATCGAGGAGAACCTCGGCAAGTACGGCATCGTCTGTATGGAGGATCTGATCCACGAGATCTACACCGTCGGCCCCAACTTCAAGCAGGCCAACAACTTCCTGTGGCCCTTCAAGCTCTCCAACCCCACTGGTGGCTTCCACACCCGCAAGTTCAAGCACTTCATCGAGGGTGGTGACTACGGTAACCGTGAGGAGAACATCAACGGCCTCATCCGCCAGATGAACTAGATTGTTTCATCTTGTTGGGCGATGGCTGTTGCTAGGTTGTCTGGGTTAAGGGCTCATTTTCTCGGTTAGCGGTATAATGGTCTAGATCCAGGTACTCTAAAAATTCAAAAGCTTAGGCAACCTTGCAACTTTTTTTTTCCGTAATCATCGTATATCTTTGCACGTAGCTGTCTGTATGTCTCGGTGGTGTTTAGTCTTGCTTGTGTTGGTTTACATGCCTTGAAAATTTCGTCAAGGGACTGTCTCGGCCGAGATGCGAGTGCACGAACCGAACCGATCAACCTGCTGAACACATGTATATGTGAACAACTATCAAACAAGGTGTTGGTAGCTGAATCACGAAATGCCAACCCCTACTTTACTAAACATGTTTCGCACCGTATCTTCGATGGACATATATAAATCTAATTGTTTGTCTTCACCTTCCCGTAAGCTCGAATCAATATATATATAGGTACCCGCGTGGAATGCATTTAATTACATGGCTATCTACAAGAAACCCTTGATTTCGCAACACAAGTTTCCCAAATCTAAATCTTAATCACCTCCTGAACTCTCCTGTTCCTATCAACCACCAAACGAAGCTGTCTGCCTTGCCAGCTAGCAGACGAGGAGGTGGTGGCGGTTGTCGCATGGGGCGTTGGCTTAAAGACGCCTTCGCGGAGGGTTTCGGTGAAAAGTTCGTAGGAAGGATAATCTATTTAATAAGTGAGTGTTTTTTTTTTTGCTTTCTTTCATTTTATTTTAATGGGAACGTGATACAGTTATGTTCTGGAAAGGGAGAGAAATGTAGGGTAGGGGTTGGAAGAGGGAAAGTACGTACAGCCATCAACGAAATGAGTGACTTGCTCCGGCGTCATGCCCGTCCCTTTGGCAGCGCGGAGAGTCCTTTCTTGTTCTTGTCGCCAGTCGTAAACGTAATGCGAATCATGGGCGTCGCTTTGATATCGTTAGCCTCGGCTTGAGAATATTTGTATAGGTGATTGGGTGGGGGAAAGGGGAGCGTACATATGAATCAAAGCGTCTAACTGGCTATATGCGGATGAATCACGATGGTTAGCAGATCTGACCTGATTGGTTTTTTTTTTTTTTTTTTTTTCAAAGGAAAGGAAGGCTCATCCCAAGCAACCCACTTACTCCGTGATCAGATCATACGCGCGCAACGCATCATTCACAGTCTTGACGTCTTCGAACTTCACATGTCCAAGACGCCCGTTATACTCACCCTGCTCTCTTTGGCGGACCGCGGCCTCCCATTTCTCGCGAAGGGTTGCATCATCCCACGCGCGGAACCCTACACACCACCCTTCGAAGATGATCACTTTGATTTCCTCCTGGCCCGGTTGGTTAACAATCTCCCACTGCGACTGCGGGACTCGATCGCCTTGCCCCGCGAACGCGGACTTGTCGTACTGCGGGATGGCCGTGGGGCGGCCGGCGCGGAGGGCGTCGAAGACCTGTGTCGCTAATGGGAGATCATGAGTCCCTGGTTGGCCGCGATGCTGGAGGAGGGGGTTTGAGGGATATGATTGTGCGAGGGCGTGCTGGGCTTCGTGAGTGAGGTATAGGTCGTCGAGGGAGAGGGTGACGACGGGGAGGGAGTATGGTGGGGATCGAAGCGTCGATAGGAGCGTGGATACCTGGCGGTTGGGACAGAAGGTGGTTAGTTGAATTGGGTCTGTTGACTGAAGGGAATTGTCATGAAAATGGACGATGGTCGACATACAAGGACGGTTTTGCCGGCACCTTGGACGCCGTTCAGGCCCAGGAAGAACGGAGGGGCTTTGGCGGGGTCGTCCCCATATCGGGCTTGATGGGCTTTCAATCGCTCGAGGAGGAAAGGGATACAGTGTTGAGATTTGTCGTCGACGATTTCAGACATTATGCGCGACGGTGACTGGGTGGTCGGAAAAATCTAGTTGATCTGGAGTGGTTGTTAGTGACGGTCAGAAGAATCGCGGTGTTGATAAGGACAGATGATGTATGTATGTATGTGTCGGAGTAAAGCCGAGCGGGTGGAATCTGGAGAAGGTTCTGCCACGGCGTTTACCCACCCGCCGGACTAGATCTCGTCCGAGACGCTGTGGACGCTCCTCGCCGGACTATGTCAGGCCGAAGTTGCTCTCTGATTGTATTAAGGTATTTATATGAAATGATTTGAGTATGAACTCTTCAATAGTACATAGCTAGTAAGTACTCCATGTCGATGAAGGAAATCCACTCACTTGGACTCGAGAGGCGCTCGGTGGGCATTACATTGTCTTCTCAGATGGCGGTGCCAACGTAGGTCTGGGCATGGGATGAAAATGTCTTTCTTTCGTTCCATCTGTAATTTCAACATTATTGCTATTGTTATAGTCCAGAGTACAGAAAAAGGCACCAGATGAACGGGGTATAAACGCTAAACCCAAACCAGCTCTAGCGCAGGAGGTACCTTGCTTATGTCACCGCGGGCAGTCAATCTTTTTTCTAGATACCCCGCCGATTGACTTGCTCCTCTCAGTGTATGTGCTGTTTATAGATCCCCTGGTCATTCAGATCCTATCCCCACCGATCACAATGGCTGCCACTCTTCCCGCCTACAAGACCTCCTTCCTGGAGTCCTGTCTCTCCGCCAATGTCCTGACCTTCGGCACTTTCACCCTCAAGTCCGGTCGTCGTATGTTCCAAGTCCTTGAATCCTCGTCCTAACAATTGCTGATATATTGGATCAAGACTCTCCCTACTTCTTCAACGCCGGAACCTTCCACACTTCTGCGCTCCTCTCCGCCCTCTCCACCGCCTATGCCCACACCATCGTCTCTTTCCTCGCCGCCAACCCCTCCATCCCTAAACCCGATGTGATCTTTGGGTAAGCCCATAGAGTTCTTCCATGTTATGACAACGTAAATTGACTGGAAAATCCATTCAGTCCCGCCTACAAGGGTATTCCTCTTGCCTGCGCTGCCCTCCTTGAACTCCACCGCCTGGACCCCGAGACCTGGGCGAATGTCTCCTACAGCTACAACCGCAAGGAAAAGAAGGACCACGGCGAAGGCGGCAACATCGTCGGCGCCGCCCTGAAGGGCAAGAAC